GACACTGGATCAAACATTGACACCATTGCTGAGTGCCACTATGAAAAAATTAAAAAACAGTTCCCAAAGCTTGAGAACTATAATGGCAAAGCCACTGCCTATGCTTCAAAGGTAGCCTTGCCAGTGATTGGAACTTTCACTGCAGAGATTAAGTCAAAGAATGCAATGCTCATTACTACATTCCATGTTGTTAGGAATGCAAAGGAGTCTTTACTCAGTTACAAGACTTCAACCAAATTGGGGCTACTTCAGCTTTCTAATGCTGTAGCAGTGGAATCTGCAAACAATGTTGATGCTATTGTTGCTGAATTTTCTGATCGATTTAAATCCATAGGTTGTTATACTGATAGCAAAGTACATCTGCATATCAACCCAGATGTAATTCCAGTTGCCCAACCACATCGCCGACAACCATTCCATACTCGCAAGAAAGTCGATGCCGAACTGGATAGGCTGATGGAGCTAGATATCAATGAACCAGTAACAGGCCCAACACCATGGGTAAGCCCAATTGTCACTCCACCAAAGCCGAAGAATCCAGATGAGATACGCATTTGTGTGGACATGCGTGTTCCCAACAAGGCAATAATGCGTGAACGCCATCCTACACCCACTGTAGATGATATGATCTACCGCTTGAATGGTGCAACTGTATTTAGCAAGTTAGATTTAAACAAGGGCTATCATCAGCTTGAACTTGATGATGAGAGTCGCTTCATCACAACGTTTACGACACATCGAGGTCTGTATAGGTACAAGCGCCTGAGTTTTGGTATTAACAGTGCTGCCGAGGTATTCCAGCACATCATCAGCCAGGTATTGCAAGACATACCTAATGCTGACAACATGTCTGATGACATCATTGTTTATGGCCGTACCCAAGCTGAACACGACAAAGCTCTTCGTGCAACATTGCAACGCTTACGAGAAAAGAATTTGACGCTAAGCCGAGCAAAGTGTGAGTTCAATCAACATAAAATTGAATTCTTTGGACATGTACTTAGTGACAAAGGTCTGTCTCCAGATCCTAAGAAAGTTGCAGATATCAAGAATGCTGCACCTCCTTCAACGTCCACTGAAGTACATAGTTTTCTGGGAATGGCAAACTACTGTTCTCGCTTCATTCCAGATTTTGCTACCATTACAAAGCCTCTACGTGAGCTCCTGAAGAAAAATGCATCATGGTACTGGAGCGATATCGAGCAAAATGCATTTGATGCTGTGAAAGATGCACTAGTAGAGAATGCGACTGCTGCATACTTTGATCCATCAATGGACACTGAGTTAACGGTGGATGCTAGTCCTGTTGGATTAGGTGCTGTTTTAGCCCAACACAAACCTGGTCAACCAGAGTCCAGAGTAGTAATTGCCTACGCCAGCCGTTCTCTCACAGATGTTGAGCAACGATACAGTCAGACAGAGAAGGAAGCTCTTGCTCTTGTATGGGGCTGTGAACACTTCAATGTGTATCTGCTTGGTGCACCCTTCACCACGATAGTCACTGACCACAAACCGTTGGAGACCATCTTCAATAATCCAAAGTCCAAACCACCAGCTCGCATTGAGAGATGGGCTCTTCGTCTGCAACCATACAACTTTACGGTGAAATACAAGCCGGGTGCAGGCAATCCCGCTGATTACATCAGTCGACATCCTGCAAACAGTTTCACCATCACCAAGCATCAGCAAGTTGCCGAGGAATATGTACACTCTGTAACCTGTGATGCAGTCCCTAAGGCTCTTACTCTTGATGAAATCCGTACTGCAACCCTAGAGGACCCAACTCTGCAAGCAACAGTGGATGCATTGACTAAGAAAAAGTTTCCACGCATCCCACCCTCAGGAGTTGACCAAGATGCATTCAAAGCACTTGAACGCATCCAGACAGAATTAAGTGTTACGCAACAACGCGACACTGTGCTGCGAGGTACTCGTATCGTGATTCCAGCTGTTCTCCAGCAACGTGCTCTGAAGCTTGCACATCAAGGACACCAAGGTCTTGTTAGGACGAAACAGCTGCTACGAGAAAAGGTGTGGTTTCCTGGCATTGATCGTCAAGCAAAGGATATGCATGATGCCTGTGTCCCTTGCCAAGCTGCAGTGGATACTTCAAGACCAACACCTCTACAACCTTCACCACTACCTGCTGCACCATGGACGGAAGTATCGATGGACTTCTGCGGACCGCTACCAACTGGAGAGTACTTGATGGTAGTCATTGATGATCACTCACGTTATCCAGAAGTAGAAATCATCAATTCCACATCTGCAAAGGCCGTCATCCCGAAACTTGACAAGATCTTTTCAAACTTTGGCATTCCTGAAGTTGTCAAGACGGACAATGGACCGCCATTCAATGGACAAGACTTTGTCAACTTTGCTGAGCATATTGGATTCAAACACCGCCGTGTGATGCCACTACATCCTCAAGCAAATGGAGAAGTTGAGAGATTCATGCAACCTCTCATGAAAGCGGTACGCTGTGCTCATGCCGAAGGACGATCCTGGAAACAAGCTATGTATGCTTTTCTCAGGAACTACCGTGCAACACCACATGGAACACTGGGCAAATCACCTGGTGAACTTTTATTTGGACGTCCTATGAGAATCGCACTACCCGTCATGCCAGCCGAGGTAACGGATAAACGTCTCGCTCAGAAGGATGCACTAGCCAAGGGCAAAATGAAAATTGCTCATGATCAACGTGCAAAGGAACAGTTCATAAAGGTTGGTGACACTGTTCTCGTTAAAAAGAAAAAAGAGGGAAAGTTAGATATGCCGTATGATACAAAACCATATAAAGTGATTAGTGTAAAAGGAACTATGGTAACAGCTAGTAATAGAGATCATAGTATAACACGTAATATGGCTTATTTCAAAGTGATTCCAACTAGTGTAGAAAATGATGAAGTGCAAAGTCGTACAAAAGAAAAAGAAAAAAATAGTTATAACCCGACAAACAATTCATCAAGGGATGTTATTGCATTTAAGGACTCTCGTCCTAAACGTCATGTTAAACGCCCTACACGATTTGATGATTAATTGTGTTCCTATGTAATGAAAAGTATTTACTTATTGTGCTAAACTAAATTTAATATTGTTTGAATAATGCAGATATCTCATTCAATATTTTGTAACTTTGTATTAGTTTCTTTCATGTTTGTTTAACATTGCATATGTATTTTTAACATTGAAATCCTTTGTGGAAAAGATTAAGTTGTTTAAATTCTTTGTGTGCTTAATTAATGTTAAATGTATGCAGTATCTCTTGATATGGTAATAACTTACTTTGTGTCAATAACTTTGCTTTGTGCTACAAGCAAGGTAGACATCCTGTATTCATTCTTTTTAAAGAAAAGGAGGGATGTCATGTTCAAGAAAATGGTACCATCCGTTTTCTATGTGCGGCGGCTGAGACGCCAGAGAGAGAGAAGGTAAACAATAGAGCGTACAGGACGCCCGCCAAGCTTGGTAGCTACTAGTCATGTAATCATATTAAGTATTAAAGTCAGTAACCAAGTCATGACTTTACATCAACCCTACAACCAAGACTTCCTCAGTAACACACAAACACCACAGTATCCAAGATTGACCATGTAATATATCATTTATTCAATGTATATATATGATGTAACTATATAACCTGAGCTTGTAAAAGCACCTTCATCACCTTCAGTGATTAAGTGCTTAATTGCACACTAGTTTCTTTATCAGCTATCTCACCCTGTCAGTGTAAATGAGACAGATGTATGTGCATGCATGTGTGTATATATGTATGTATATGTATGGGTATAAAGTATATATGGAAGCTGATCAGAATTACATTTCACTTTTGTGAATGTACATTAATGACACTATGTAAAAGACACATCAAACACTTTATGTAGGGTATACGTAAATCTGTGTATCTATGTATTTACGTATGTAGGTTAGCTTAGCATTTTAAAAGCACCGAATCACCTTCTGTGGTTGAGTGTTCAATAAACCCTTGAGCTCTATGTTTAACACTTCTCTAACCCTGTCCATGGAGGACAGAAGAAAATGTATATATGCTGGTTAGCATTGTAAATGTGTGGCCACGTCTGTGGTAGAAAATAATAATAAAAAAAAAAAAGTGTCTGAGAGCTTGTAAAGTTAAAAACAGCTTTATAGGTGAGCTATAGGAATCAATTTGATTGTTCCTAGACAACTACACTTTTATCTTGCCAAAGATAAAAAAAAATGGGATCGGATGCTCAAATGACTCCAATTACCAATTAAGCAGTAAAGAATAATAAAACTTTTAGAAACTATTTTGGTACAGTACATTAATTTATTGAGTAAACATGCCAACATCACTAGGAAATTTGGACTAGAAAAAAGGTAAAGATGTTGCAGGATTTACTAGTCATTCTGACTTCACTCCTCTATAATTACTTCCTTCAAAAGACTTAGACTTGTCGTTTTCTTGGAATGTCCTTGGACCATTCCTTCGACTTGAGAATGGTCCAGGACGGACCGAAACATCGTCGTCCCTTCACCTTCTAGTGTGGTCTGGTCAACATCCTTCAAACGACTCAATCACCACTCAACACAATTTGGCAATATTAGCACGACGGCATTGCAAGTCTAGACTTTTTTGCAATTTAAAAATGTCAATTTAGTATCAAATTTAAATGTATGTGTGTGTGTAAATTACGAAAGTTAACGTGATGAAAAATGATATTGTCAGACCACGGAGGAAGAATTGTAACAGGAATTTCCTTAAGTACTTTCGTATTTAATAATACATCTTCAGAAGGGTGAGAAGGGAATGTGTATGTAGTTATACATTTCTCAATTTGGAATTACATAAAAATCATATTTGGGAGCACAAAGATGTCATTTACGTTTTACGCAAAAATTTCAACTTGAATAATCCAGTGGTCAATAAGTAAGTAATTATCAAAGGGGGCACCAAGCCGGGAAGGCTATGTAGCACCAGTAGTCAATACAAGGATGGGGAATATTAAAAAAATAAATGTAGTGCCATTTTAATCTTTTAATGTTGCCATATTTGTTTTTGTTATTTTTCTTACATAATCTGTTCTCTTGCTTCTCAACAACTTCTTGAAAAACTTTAAGGCTTTTAAACTGATTTTCATCCCAACCCTGATGACCTTTTCACTCCTTCAAAGTGCTTTCTTCAACAACACAAGTTGACTTATTAACACTGCCTCAATTGAACGAGGACCTTTCCATCAGTAACCAACATAATAAGTAAAAATGAAGAGATTCACCAAACAATTGTGAAATACTTGCAGCGATAAAAACAAAAAGTACAAATATTTTACCAAATCAGTCTCGGTAATTCAGATTCCAGTAAGCTGAATTTAATAGTAATCCAAATGAATTCATGTTCGAGTTTTTAATCTTTTTAACCCAAATAGAATAGGAATTTGGATTAGAGATTTCTGCCAAATAAAAACCAAAATAAATTGTTTTCTTAAATTATACATTCCTGTAAAATTATTTGGCTAACCCGAATGAGGGTGGGCCCCAAATAAATCTGGTTACCGAGTTTAGACAGTACCTACAAAGAGTAGCTACATACTTTTTTCCTTATTAGTACATTGACTAAATTACAATAATTCTTTAAAAACACATATATATATACCTTAGCTAACTTCAAAATATCACACTGCAAGTGACAAGGTTGGAACTTGTAAAAAAATCAAATTTCAAATTGTTGTATCCTTTCCTCTTTCTATTCCATATAAATTAGATTACCAATTTACTGCCAAATTCATGTCTGTTTTCATGATTTATCGACAAGACAATAAAAACCACTTTCTTGCAATTATTATACACAGTATATACAACTTATTCAAAGTATTATTCTAATTGATTACTGTACTGTATATTCAAATTGGCTTCACAAAGTGTATAAAACGATACATGGCAAATAGAAACAAAGCTTCTACAGTGTAAGTGACTAGTGCAAGCTTCACCAGCATATTATTCCATTAGTACACATTTTGGAACAAGTTCATCACAAAAATCCTTACTCTTCAGCTAACAACTCCAACATAATTGTTGCACAAGTTGTGTAATGGCATCCACGTCTTGCACAATTAACAGCACATAGCACTAATAAAACTTCTCGTTTCTTCACCAAACAAAATGTCAAAGGTATTAATACCATAATTTATGGGTATTGATACCGTTAACAAAGGCAACATCTATCACTTACAAAAAAAAAAAAAACATTCTTTATCTAGTTTACCTGCAAACTAATTGTCACTATTTTTGGCTTGTTACAACTTGCAATACAATTGTTACATCTTGGTATAATGTATTACAACTTGCTATATTGGTTTCTTATAACTTGTTAGGTTTAAAAACTGGTTCAAATGTAGCATCGTCCTATTCAAACCTACGTCCGAGAGGATGCCAGACGCGCCATCGCCGCGTGTTTGGAGGGTAATGTGCAAATGCAAAAACCCTTATACAAGTTATTTACTCCAAAAATGCAGGCTTCAAAATACACACAGCAGTTACTTGAAGTCATTCATTATTACAAAGTTTCAATCACTTAACAAGAAAGTTTGATACATAAATTACAAAATAAAGTATTAAAACAAAAAGTGCATAAATAAGGAACACATTCTCAAAAATATTGAACATACATAAGAAAGACAAACAAATGTTCAAGTTTGACATGGTGAAAATCACAAGATTCAAGACTAACACTGACAAAGTCTTATTATTCAACTCTGGATTAATAACATTAGTCCAGATAATAACCAACTACTACAAACACTTCACTAATTACACAAAGGTTACTAAATAAAAAAATTATTTAATTAGGATATATAATTCATTTTTCCCTAGCTAATATTAACATCTTTGAACTGTGACACACAGTGCCAGGCCTTTCCCTTCAAGAGTAAATGATCGATCATGTGAACCTAAACCACACGTGGACGAGTGTCGGGTCCACACCAACTGCACTCGAGAAGACGTGTGTGAAAACATTAATGTGCACAATTGTGTTAGATTTCAATTTAATTGTACAATTGTGTACAATTATAATGGGCACAATTTCCTTAGGATGGGGGGTGGGGGGGGGGAAAGGGCTGATGTAAATGTAGCAAAGCTTCTCAAGATAACTATTAGTCATTCTTCAACAGTTTAGTTCTTTGGAAAACTAGAGTATTTGAGCATTCAAATTCAAGTGGACAACTGATTGAAAAGATTTTCCTGGAAAATTGACATTGCCACAAACATCAATAAAAGCACTGTACTACCAGCACTGGCAGATGGTATAATATAAAAAATATAACTTTACTCAATTTTGGGAGGAATACTACTTTTTCATCACTATGCTGTGCCTGCCAGTGGTATCAATCCAAATTACATTTTTACAGCAATTACCTTGAATAGGTAAAATATAATCATTATTTTACAAAATAAATTTTGGGGTGTTGCACAAATAGTATTCCACTCCACTTTTTGGGTCAATGAGCATCAAAACTCATTTCTGGCTAGAAAATACATGTACTGTACTTGATTCCAATACAATATATATATATAGCACTTTTAAACTGGGGCATCTTTCATGTACTGATCAAGCTCGGAGTCGAGGACGGTCTTAGTCTTGCTCATGTACTCGTCAAGCTGCTGATCAAGTTCCTCACGGGTAAAGTTTCCTCCGTCGGGATTGACGTTGGCTCCACCACGGGCTCCTCGGCTCCCACGTCCACCACGGCTGATGCGTCCTCCACGGCCTCGACCCCTAATAATGTCAATTTAAATTTATTAAATAGTGGTAGGAAGTTATATGGTGTATAAGGAGTGGTAGGAAGTTATAAGGTGTATAAGGAATTATACAAGAAATAGAAGTACAGTATACTGTACCTCTAAATTTGAATGCAACCAGTCTTTGTGGCAAAGTTACTACTATAAATGCACCTTTATTTAAAGTCTTCATTTGATAGAAAAATATAAACTATGAATGATGAAAATAAATACACACGTCTATACATATTTCGGTTGCATATATGTCTGGGGACCATCAGGCTTGTTCGCATCTATACATATATAACATGAATATCTAAACAAGAGAAGGTGCCTGTCCAAAATTGGAGGCCAGACAATTTGGACTAGCCTCGGAAAATGGTATGGGGTATGGGACGGACGGGCATAGGCTGGTCCGAGAAGGCCTAAGTTTGGCTATAATGCTTTAAGAAACATAGCATGTAACCCAACAGCTCTGAGCAACTCTCATCAAGTTGAAAATGAATCTAGGATGAAATCTAATGAGATGTCAGTACAGTGTGAAGTTCATGGCATTACCTCAACCTTTACTCGTCCAATTTTTTTGATATATATTTGCCAAATTTTGCAAAATAAACTATGAAGCCACACAAATATTCATTTCATAACAAAGATGCAGGACCAGAAAACACAACTGGGTCAACAGAAATTGTGAGAAAACAAGAGGACAAGAAAATGGGTTCAACAGTGAAAGAGGCCTGACCCATAAACATACCAGCATTACAAGCAAGAAACAAATACACAGCAGTGAGGAGAGAGGCAGAAATGAACTTTGAGAAAGGTATAGTGAACAAATGTAAGAGAGATAAGGCCTTTTCTATAAATTCATTAAAAGCAAGCTGCATGTAAAGGATAAAATAGAGATTAAAATCTCTTCAGCCACGTCATTGGCTCCGCATCTGCATTTGGATAAAATCGAGATACTGTGAACAGGAAACAGGGCTACAGGGAGAATAAAAGGAAATGTGTGACATGCTAACTGAACAGTTCCAAAGTGTGTTTGTATTGAAGATTAGGATGAGAGCTGGACCCTATACCAATTCCAGAGAACGTAATAGAATTCATAGAGGTATCTCAAAACAAAGTGGACAAATTATTCAGGACTTGAGAATGGTCCAGGAGGGACCGAAATGTCGTCGTCCCTTCACCTTCTAGTGTGTGGTCTGGGCAACATACTTTAGCCACGTTATTGTGACTCATCGCCTGCAAATTACTCAGGACCTAGGAAGAAATAAAGCAGTTGGACCAGACCGAGCACTTTGGATGCTGCGAGAATTTGCAACTGAGAATTCCACTCCAATTAATATTCTAGACATCTTATCTGCTAAGATTCCTTTGCACCCTACAGAGGCCACTCCAGACTGAGAACCAGAGCACAACTCCATAGTCTCCTAAGACTGATAGAGTTCCATACTACTTCTTGTGCTCAGGAATCTTAGCAGATACAGTGGTATGTAAACAGTCAAACATACAAGCAGGTTCGAATCCTCGTCACGGCCCTTGTGGATTTGTTAATTTGATGCATCACGTTAGTGTGATCTCTGTGTGTAAGTCAAACATAGTACCAATCTATAAAAATGGTGTCGAGAAGAACCTCTAAATTGTAGGTTGTAAATCTAAATCTAGTCAAAACACTAGAAAAAATACTTAAAATCCAAATGGGTTGAACACCTAGAAAGTAATGAAAGAACAGTGTTGATTTCAAACAGGAAGATCCTAATTAACAAAGCTACATTTAATACACATATTTTTGGAAAGCTGATTTTCTCTAAATTCCTCACTGTAATACAAAAATCCTCACTTTGATACAAAATTCTGCACTGAGGAAGGATTGTCAGAAATTTTTCCATATGAAGAGTTAATTGTTATAGTCATTCATTCATTCAATATTATTAATCTCAAACATACCCCAGTCTAATGATTTACCGACTTCTGCAAGAAAATTTTATATTTGCCTACTTGAACCTCATATCACCATAAAAACATTTCAGTATACATTTATTCACCTTTAAAATGTTATTTCGCAAGTCCATGCCATACTCGTTAACAGAAAAGGGCATTTTGTATAACAAAAACAAACCATAAATTGACCTAAATGTAAATAATAAATATCAAATGTCATTTGATTAAATAAACTTCTGTTAAGTTGAAACAGAAGTTGTTAACATACCTAGTAGTTCCACGTCCTTGTGCTGCGGCAAAGCCTCGGCCACGGAGTCCACCCCTAGGACCGCCACGCCCTTGACTCATGCCACGTCCACCGCGACCCCTTAAGAACCTTCCACCTCTGATGCCACGTACACCGCCACGACCTCCAATAATACTACCACGGCCTCCTCCAATGTTGCCCCGGCCTCCTGCAATGCCACGTCCTCCGCCAATGCCGCGGCCTCCAGTAATGCTGCCACGACCTCCGACCATGCTGCCACGGCCTCCGGCGATACTTCCACGGCCTCCGGCAATACTTCCACGACCTAACATTTAAGAATGGCAAGATTTAATTAATACTAAAGCAACTTGAAAATAAACGTTGTTTACTATACAGTATTATAGTAATAGCAATAAACAGTAATCCAATCTACTCAGGGTTATTGGATCAGGCAGAACAAAATCAAAGTTACATTTTGTCTTCCCTAGCAAATACCAGGACCAGCAGAAGGAACATCCCCTCCCCTTACTCTTAATGCATAAATATCTTCAAAGATGATATTCCAAAATATATCAATCCATTTTTTATCATTTGAGCACCCCAAGCTATTGGTAACAGCCTAATTCCACAATATTAAACAATGTTTAGTTTATCTGCTGTATTTCGTGCAATGTAACAATATATGGTATCAAGCGCTACATTACAGTTAGTTCATGTTTTTTAACTTGCACCATCTAAATTAGTATAAAAAAATTAATGAACTGGTTTCTACCTTTTTTAAAACGATATTTCCCCTTCTAGCCTGTATGTGCACGCACTTGCATACATATGTGGCGGGGAGAAGGGGGATATAGGTACACGTGCATATAAATAAAGTTACCTCTTAATCCAAAGCTTCCACGACCACCTCTTGGACCAACACCTCTGAATGTTGCTCCTCTATAATTTGCACCTCGTAGTCCTCGCAGGCCTCCTCGTCCTCTTGTTACCATGGACCCCATTCCAACGTCATCAGGTACACTTAACCGCCCTTTCACTGCCAGGCGCTGTTTCACCGATAATGGTCGTGGGCCATTGAGACGTTGCTCAACACTCTTCTGAAACGGTTAAATATTTAACTTTGCATTAGTGTCAGATAAATCTGGATTAAAGGCTTAACCATTTTACTGTGAACTGAAGAATTAACAAAGTTTTGCTTACAAGTATAGTTCACTTAGCCGAATGTAGCTGTGCTTAGAGGCATGCTGACAATATCTACAATTTAACATTAGGAAATTAAAATTTTTGCAAATCTATAGTACACTCCCCGAACTGCTGGACCGCAATTTTTCATTTATTCAATCTATTTGTTTGCTGTCCTGTTACGGACCCGAGCCCAGCGTCCGAGCACGGAGCAGTGACGACCGCGCCATCTGTGGGTCAGCTCCCGAAACCCCCTCCAAATGGACGACGCCATCTAGTGAGGACAGGATATACCGGCCTCAGGGGCTGGTTTCCCGTCCTAATCAGCTCGTAACATAGCCGCTGCTGACCTCTGGTGAGGTGATGCTTAGACAGCAAGGCCATCTATGGAGTGGATAGGTGGGCATTTGTGTTTAAGCCTGTGAGTGAGGTGCCCTAGTGTGTCATCAGTACTGATGACGTGTCTGATTACAGAGTCGACCTGGGACTGCTGAATCGGACGGTGGATCAGTCTACCCAAGGCAGCCGTAGAACCTCCACGCATTTGCTGCTGAAGCTGTGAGTCACCCCCCGGATGAACACTGTTGTGTTAGCCTGCCTGTGAGGTGGCAGAACCAGGGATTGTCGTGCCCGGGGCTGACTGGTGGAGAAGACTAACCACTGGGGTGTTGTGGTGAGGAGAGTGATCTGTGAAATCACACTAGGCTCCTGCCTAGGGCTCGCAACCCTAGTATTGGTCGTGGAGTGGCCTAACCAGCGGAACTGATTGGAACCTGCCAGCTACAGGCTGGATTTGTGGTTGAAGGCCTCCACAACGGTGCCCCCAGTGGAACTGTGATTTGGCTGGCCTGTGGCCAGGGTAGACTCGAGAGTGAGGCCACAAGAGGACCAAGGGCTAAGCATCGTTGAGCACCGTGGAACATTCCTGCGTCTTCAGAGGAAGACCATATTGTATACCCCCCCCCCCGTGTGTTAATTTATATATTTATTTATTGGTGATGGTAATTATATATTTAAGTTTAGTGTCTTTGTCTCCCTTCCCCTTTAATTTACTTGCGTTACGGATCACACCCCTTGAAAGCCACTACTAACTTGGGGCCGGATACCCAAACTCTATTAACATCAGAGAAAGAACCCAGTTGCGACCCAATAGGGCCGTAACATGTCCGGACCCAAGTGGCACCTCAACTTATGAGAGGCCTTTGTAGTTTCACAGCCGACCACAGTGTCGCTGTGACGCGACCTCTGCACCTGCTCAATGGCCCAATATTGTTTTGAGGCTGCCTGCAGCAGACAGACTTTTCCCCTCTTACCATTTTATATCTAGGCATATTGTTTTGCATCCAGGTACCAGGAAATGCAGGAAATCTGTCATTCAAGTCTTCAACAAGCAGTATAGCCAAGAGAGAAAAGACATGATTTTTTAACAAAAAGTTCAACTTTTGTGTCAAGTAAAACAACTCTTAAACCTTAAACCGTGCAATACATACATATACGATGGGAGTAACTCTCCCAAAACCACACATTACATACATATACAACTGAGGGTCTAGCGCACGATTTTAAATGCCCCACAAGGGATAAGGGCAGCTATAGTCCAGCTATAGTAAACAGACAAAAAAAAAAAGAAAAAAATCGTGGGTAACATATCCGGATGAGAGCGCCTCAGTTCTGAGTGAGCCACAAAGACTGTGCGCTCATGGCACACGCAGCATGAGCGCACAGCACTGCTGTTCAGCTTATGACCACAGAATCGCTAAAAAATGTCAAAGTAAGTAAGTAATTATCAAAAGAAGGCACCAAACCGGGAAGGCTATGTAGCACCATCAAATACGCAAAATAATCAGAGGGCGCTAAATATCACCAAGGATGCCAATACGAGAACAAAAACGCATAAGGCGAACGATATCAAAAGTATCCGAGTCACCAAGAATTCTATCGAGGGACAGGTGACCGCGAGGGGCGGTCGGAAAGCAAGACACACGCTCGTCCTGGAAGTCAGGACATTCAAGAAGGACATGCACGACCGTAAGAGGGACAATGCAACTAGGACAATAAGGAGCAGGGCGGCGCTCCATCAAGTGACCATGGGTTAAGCGAGTATGGCCAATACGCAACCTCGCTAGAGCTGTTTCCCACCGCCGGTTACGGAGGAAGGAGGACGGCCACGAGGAAACACAACATTTAAGAGTACGTAGCTTGTTACCAGTAACAGACAACCAAGAAGCCTGCCAACGGGTAAGGACTGAGGAATGGATAACCGGGTAAAAGTCGGAATACGGAATGCCTTTACGAGAGATGGGACAAGAGCGGACAGCTTCCTTAGCGGCAGCATCCGCACGCTCATTGAAAGACACGCCAATATGGCTGGGAACCCAACAAAACTCAACCGACTTAAATTTACTGTGAACGAGAAACAGCCAATGCTGGATCTCGACAACCACCGGATGAACTGGATTAAAGCACCCGAGAGCCATGAGGGCACTACGAGAGTCAACAACAACCACAAAGGAAGACTGACAACGAGAAAGCAGGAGACGAAGAGCATAGAGAATAGCATAAAGTTCCGCTGTAAAGATGCTAGTCTCCGGAGGCAAGCGACACATATAAGTGCGATCAGGAAAAACAACAGAGTAGCCAACACCGTCCGCTGACTTAGACCCATCGGTGAAGACAGAAACGGAGCGGGAGTGAGAAGAAAAGTGCTCGAGGAAAAGGCGTTTTAGAACTGTAGGAGGGGTAAAAGCTTTAGTGATACGAGTCAAGGATGTACAAAACCGCGGAAGAGGGACCCTCCACGGGGGCAAAGAAGGAACAACACGAGGAGAAACATCAGAAATACGAACGGAAAGAGAATCCTGCAGGCGAGATAACCGGACAGAAAGAGGGAGGTGGTGAAGAGGAACAGGAACCGCAGGAGGGGTAAAAGTTAAAGCACGACAGAGACGAGAGGAAGGATGTTGCAAGGACCGCGCAAGATAGCGAAGACAGTAGCGATCACGGCGGTCCTGGAGAGACAGGAAGCCAGTGTCAACATACAAGCTAAGGACGGGAGTCGAACGAAAGGCACCAGAACTGAGGCGCAACCCAGTATGGTGCAAAGCATCAAGACGGCGAAGAGTAGAAGGAGAAGCAGACGAGTAAGCAGGGCAACCATAATCGAGCTTAGACAGGACGAGAGAGGAATGTAAAGCAAGGAGAGTGCGCCTATCTGCCCCCCAAGAAGTATGGGACAAGACCCGAAGGAGGGTAAGGGACTTAGAGCACTCAACACGGAGGTAAGAGATATGGGGAGACCAAGACAAACGAGTGTCAAGGAATAACCCCAAAAGCTTCGCGGAATCTTTGTATTCAAGGGGATGACCATAAAGTGACAAAGAGGGACGAAGAACAACCCGTTTCCGCGTAAAAGTCATGGCACAAGTCTTAGAAGTAGAGAACTTGAAGCCATGACCTGTAGCCCAAGACGACACGGCATCAATTGCAAGTTGAAGCCGGCGTTGAAGGAGAGGCGAATCATCACCCTGACAACAAAGGGTAAGATCATCGACATAGAGAGCGGAGAAGACACCAGAAGGAAGAGAGGAAAGAAGACCATTGAGGGCAACCAGAAAAAGAGTAGTGCTCAGAACACTACCCTGGGGCACACCTTCGTATTGCTGAAAAGGGGGAGAGAGAGCGGTACCAAGGCGCACCCGAAAGGAACGACGAGAGAGGAAGCTGCGGAGAAAGAGAGGGAGATGACCACGAAGGCCAAAAGAATGAAGTTGAGATAGGATATGATAACGCCAAGTGGTGTCGTAAGCCTTTTCTAGGTCAAAAAGGACGGCAACAACGGAGGTCTTCGCAGCAAAAGCAGTACGTATATAGACCTCCAAGTTCACCAGGACATCTGTCGTGCTGCGGCACTTGCGGAAACCAAATTGAGAAGGGGAGAGGAGGTGATGGTGTTCCAGGAACCACATCAGACGAACGTTAACCATACGTTCAAAGAGTTTGCAGACACAACTTGTGAGAGCAATAGGGCGAAAGTCCTTAGGGGAAGTACCCAGAGACCCTGGTTTGCGAACAGGGAGGACAACGGCATCGAGCCAGTCCTCAGGGACTGACGACGACTCCCAGATCCGATTATACAGACTCAGTAAATACTGAGACGTGCTCGGAGGGAGATGGCGAAGCATCTCATAATGAATACCATCGGAGCCCGCCGCCGTAGAACCGCAGAGGGCCAGGGCAGAACGAAGTTCAGAGAGAGAGAAGGGATCATTATAGGGAAGCTGAAGATGAGTGCAGAAATCTAAAGGACGAGACTCAAGGACAGGTTTACGAAGAAGGAAAGATTGGGGAAGATGAAGACCAGAGCTAACAGAAGAAAAGTGGGAACCCAGTTCGGAAGCGACCTGCAACGGGTCCGCCACAAGAGTATCATGGAGGTGAAGGACCGGTGAAACATCGGGAACGAACTTACCCGCTATCTTGCGGATACGCTTCCAGATCTGGGCCAGAGGGGTTTCGGACGTAATTGTCGAGACATAAGATGCCCAACATTCACGTTTAGCCGTACGGATGGCCCTACGGGCCACCGCACTCGCTTTCCGAAAGAAAAGAAAAGAATCGGTCGTCTGCCTACGGCGGTGCTTCTTCCAGGCTGCACGCTTACAGCGGACAGCCCGAGCACAGTCCGCATTCCGTGGACCCCGAGAGGAAGAGCGAGGAATAGAGCGGAGGGCAGCGTCGAAGACAGTGTCATGAAAAAGGAGGAGAGCGCGAGAGAGGGGCAGAAGGGAGAGGTCAGAGAGAGTAGCACTGAGGGAAAACAGGGTCCAGTCCGCCTTAGCAAACTGCCACCTAGGGAAAGAGAGGGAAGGGCGAAAAGAGAAAAAGGAAACAAGGATGGGGAAATGATCACTTCCAT